ACAAACGCTGATTTGTCATTGGTTCTTTCGATGTTTTTCGCGTTCTTGCTTTTTTTGCTTTCCGACGCTCCAAGACGGCCCAAGAGGCCCCCAAGAGAGCCCCAGGACGGCCCAAGAGACCCTTAAGCCGGGCCCAAGACGGCCCAAGACGCCCCCAAAGGCGTCCCAAGACGGTCCAAGAGCGCCCCAGGACGGCGCAGGAGTCGCCCAAGACGGCCCCAGGAGGGCCCCGACATGGCCTCAAGATTGCCTAAGCGAGCCCAGCGGACCCCAAGAGGGCCCCACGAGGCCGCAAGAAGCCCCCCGAGGCCACCCAAGCGCCCCCCAAAAGGCTCCCCGGAGGCTCCCAAGAGGCCCAACAACTCCTCCCAATACGCCCCAGAGACTTCCAGTATGCCTCCAAAAACTGACCCCGAGAGGGTCATGCGAGGCCCCAAGACAGCCCAATGATGGCCACGCGAGAGCCACACCATACATTATGATAATGAGGAGGCGTAAGTAATGGTGGCGAGGGATGCTGATGACAAGGATGGAAGGGGAGCGAATGATGAGGAGGACCGGGGAGTGACTCGAGGTGAGGAAGGACGAGAACGAGGTGTAGGAAGAGAAGGAGCGGCATATTGAAGAGAGCGGGGAGGACATGGAGGAGGCTGATGATGATGATGAGGAGGAGGAGGACGAGGAGGAGAGGAGGACGGGGAGCAGTGACGTAACCAGCCCTTAACATCTACGCTCCCAAGAGCGAAGGGTGCCATGAGCCGTCTCGGGCAAGTTCCTTCAGCGTTCTTTCCGTTTCCGTGCACAACCATTGGCCCATCCATGGAGCCATGACGGGGCCCAGGTCAGCGCCGAGGTTGTTCCCGGAGCTTCCAACAAGGTCTCCGAGTTGCACTTCCGCGTCCTGCTCCAGCGACCCCGTACCCCATATCGGCTGAAGACATGATGCTGCTGCCTCCGCAGTCACCAGTCAGTATTATCCTGCTTACTTTTACGGCATTGCAGGCTGCCATCCATATCGCGGGTCGAGCCGCCGCTCCCTGCACCTCCGTATTCGTGGTCATGGTTCCAGCTGTTACTGCTCAGATCCCAGTCGAAGGCACCAACAAACGAGAACGTCAAAGATTTTGCAAGCGGTGCCTTTCGGCAGATACACGGTGTGCCCACCCCCAGTGCGAGGCTCCTGTAGCTCCACCCTTCCGACGGCCAAAAACACATGTCACGTCTACTTTCTGCGCAACGCACTATTCCGACCTATGCCACAATACCGCGCGTGAGTGGAACTTGCGTAGGAACGCCCGCGTCGGCTGCCGCCTTCTGGCAACCAACAAATCATCTGGCCCGTGCTTTCCGTGCTCTGAAGGCCCCCTGCCCTGTCGCTTCGCGGTGCTGGGGTGTCCTTCCCACGTCCGGCAAAAAGTCAAACATGCATCAGGCCGGCTTCCGCAATGCGTTAACCATCACAACAACCATTCTTGCCCCTACAACCTTGGTCGGCAATTCGCCTGCGCATCGCTTGGCTGCCAGGAGGAACGGAGCGATGCAGCCCGCAGTACTTGCGTCCCATGCCAAGCCGGACGTCGACCGTGCACAGTGTGCTTCTCGCGCCGAGGAGCACCCGGAACTCCAGATCTGTGCGCTCACTGTGGCGGAGCCAGCCCAGCCGCCAGCCCTTCTCTAGCCGCTCCAGCGCAGTCTTCGACGGCGCTTGCATCTACGCCCTCGCGATGTAGCGTTCCGAAGTGCGGGGCGCCAGCGGTGCAAGAAAGCACATCTCGAACGGGCGCGCAATGCCCCATGTGCATCGTCGGGGTCTTTCCTTGCGCTACGGCCAGCTGCAACTTCCGCGTCCCTCGACAACGCGGACAGCATTGCCTCGTCTGCCAACCGCCCGCCCTGCTCCACTTGTGCCGCGCGCCCGCGTGTACGAACGTAGTCGAGTCGCCAGAAGACACTTTGTGTTGTCTTTGCACTTCGTCCTGTTTCCCATGCGCGACGCGTAGGTGCGACGGCCGTTCCACCCCTGGTTCAGCAGGCCTGTGTCGAACGTGTGGGCTGTCCACACCACAACCATTACCATCCCTCTCCAAACGATCCTACGAGCAAGCCGAACGCCCTTGTAGCTCGTCTGGGTGCAGCGGTGTAGCTCAACGGAAGTCGTCCGACGGCCTCTGCATCGCGTGCATTCGGAAAGGGAAGCCATGTAGCAATCGTGCCATTGGGTGCGCTTTTCGCGTGGGCCCTCTCGGCACCGTGGTGGAATGTAGGCACTGTTGCCTCGCGGGGCCCCGTTGCCAGGGGCCCGGAAAGGCCGGCTGCCGCGCCCCCGCCCGCCATGGCGTGCGACGCGCAGTGCCGCACAACAACGGCATGTGCGAACGTTGCTTTAAACCCACATGTTCCTTCCCACTGTGCGACAGAAAGTTGACGAAAGCAATGTACGCCACCGGATACTGCCCCGACCACGTCCGACATGCCGCGGTAGCCACCGCCGCCGCCGGGCCCCATCATCCTCCGACGTCGGGGTCTTCTGGTGTCCCACACGCCCGTCCACGTAGCGATCCGTTGCAAGCACTCCGCAAGCAGGTGGGGGCAGCCGTCCGCATGTACCTCCGAGCACGTGACTCGCCGAAATGTTCCGTGCCGTGGTGTCGCCTCAAGTCCACCCGCGTAGCACTTCCGAACTCGTCCAGCTGTCCGCCCGCCTGCGCAGCGCATCGGAACTGGTTCGCAGAACCCGTGCCTGGGACTTCTCTTGGCGTACGCACCGGCCACCGCGCCGGCTGGTGGTCGACAGACGAATGGTGCAGCAACCGCGTTCCGAAAGCGTCGCTCTCTCCGACCGGCCACTTCAAGGAGCCTGCGCAACGTGCGGGGCTCTGCACTTCTTCGCCGAACGCGCGCGTTGCCCGGCAGCACGCAGAAAGGACTTCGGCGCGTGCTGCAGGTACGGAGCCCTGGCTGGCATCCCCCTACTGCCTCCCGCTCCGGCCGAAATGGCTCAGCTCCTTCGTCCGGGTCTTTCCCACGACCACTTCATGCAGCACATTCGGTCGTACAACTGCGCCCTTGGATTCGCATCCTTCAACAGCGAGAGCACTGTCGCCGCACGGAAGACCCGCACGGAAGACCCCCTGTCGGGCACCCGGGCACCGGGCACCCGGGCACCCGGGCACTGCAGGCACCCCGGCACCGGGGCATCCGGGCATCCCCCGGGCACCCGGGAAGGAGGAGGGAGGATGAGGAGGAGGAGAAGGAGGAGGAGTGAACGTCGGGCAGGCGTCCAGCGCAATCCGAGCCGAGGGTAGAGCCAGAAGGAGTAGGAGGTGGAGGGGACCGGGAGGACCGTTTCGGCCGTTCGAAAAAGCACCTCATCCATGTCCTCCTCCTCCTCCTCCTCCTCCTCCTCCTCCTCCTCCTGCTCGTTCTCTTCCCCCTCCCTTCCATAATCAGACTATTCCTCCGCCGGCTCGGCTCGGCCCGGCCCGGCCCGGCTCGGCCAGCGGAGGAGGAGGAGGGAGGAGGAGTGGGAGGATGAAGACAGGACAGGGGGGGAGTAGGACGACGAGGAGGAGGAGGAGGAGGAGGAGGAGGAGGAGGAGGAGGGGGAGAAAGAGCGAGGAGGCGGGGAGGGACATGGGCAAGGGGAGGCGGATGAGGATTAATTTCGTGGAGGAGCAGGCGTTCGCAACCGGCGCAGCATCCAGGCAGAAGAGGAGGAGGAGGAGGAGGAGCAGGAGGAGGAAGAGCAGGAGGAGGAGGAGGAGGAGGAGGAGGATGAAGAGGAGGAAGCGCAGGAGGAGGCCCGGTTCGCCTGAGACATCCTCAAAACTCTGGGTTCCGAGACGTCCTGACCTGAGTTGGTCAGACCACTTTCGCCTGAGACATCCTCGAAACTCTGACCTCGGAGGTGCCCTGCCCCACGGTGGTCCGGGCACTTTCGCTTGAGACACGCTCGCATTTCTGGGTTCCGAGACGCCCTGAGGTGAGGTGTTCACTCCGATCTCGCCTGAGACATCCTGCGATCTCTGACCTCGGAGGTGCCCTGCCCCATGGTGGTCCGGGCACGTTCGCCTGAGACATCCTCGCAACTCTGGGTTCCGAGATGCACTGAGCTCTGACCTCGGAGATACATTGCCCCAAGGTGGTCTGGCCACTTCCGCCTGAGACCCTCGCCACTCTGACCTCTTGGGGCCTCCGGGGGGGCCTCTTGGGCACTCTTGGCCAGGGCCCAGAAACAAAACCAGGCCAGGGCCCAGAGACAAAATCCGAAACGCCCCAGAAACAAAACTTGAAACACAACTTGAAACAAAACCCTTGAAACAATTGTCCGGCTGTGGAGCCGCCTGTGGACCGCCCCCCCTCCTCCCCCCGGTGGACACACGAGCTGCTGCTGTACGTGTGTGAGTTGTTTTCTCGAGGCGCCCCCCTGGGAATGAAACAATGGGTATGTAGGCAGCTGAAGTGGGATAATGCGGAATCCTATTTCGACCTGCGGCCCTCTGTATGTTTCATGGTTGCACGCCGAGTGGAACACGTCCACCGCGTCGACAACGAACATACTTTTTCGCGTTGCATGCCGAGTGGAATTCGTCCACCGCGCCCGCAACAGCTCCTCTGCCTCGTGGAGTGTGATTCCATTGGTCCGCCAAAAAGGGTGTGGAAAGGAAAGGGATTGAGAGGGTTTGCTGAGAGGAGAATGCAGGATTAAGGTCGACTGGGGCTCATGGCGTGCATCCGTGGGGGCATAGAGGGATGGTGCGGTTTGCTGATTGATCATGATTGATAGACGTCTTTCTGCTCTCCGATGCTGCGAACCCTAGACCGTCGCCGCACAACTGTCGCCGCAGCAGTTCCCCCTTTCGCGGTGGCGGCGGTCATGCCCAAGCCCGCCGCCGCGAAGGCAGTGCCGGTTGCCCCAGAGACCACACCGGTGGCGCCTGGCTGGCAGAAGGTGTGGAGGACGTGCGGCCCCGGGGGGACGCGCTGGTACCCCACGTGGATCAGCCCTGAATGGAAGTATCTCAAGAGCCGCAGGACGGCCCTCGCGGCGGGCATGCCCGCCGCGGGCCCCCAGTAGGGCAGCCCGTGCCACCGCTCTTCTCCCGCTCTCCTGCCGTGGTTGCTAAGCCCTTTTGGGGGACGCTGGCAGCCATTGCAGCCATTTGAAGTGATCGGGAAACTAAGGGGGTACAGGCGCGATCGGGAATTTAATGGGGTGCAGGTGCGATCGGGAATTTAAGGGGGTACAGCCTTCTTGAGCCTCGAGCCTCTATCTCGCGCCTGCTGCCTTGCCTCGCGCTCCGGCTGCCACCTTTCATGGTGCGTATCCTGTCCTTAACTTTTGAATGCCGGTTATTTTCCAGTCGCGGTGTGTGGAGGTAGCCTCGTGCAGTGGGGCATTTGATCATCATTATCAGCAGCATCAACATCAGCATTATGCTCATCATCAGCAGCATCAACATCAGCGGTTGGATGTGAACCACTCCATATTCCGCGCCTCAGGGTTTTTCTATACATGTGGGCTCCAGTTAAGCCGGTCCATATTCGCGGCGTTAGATGACGGTCAGTCGAATTTCACTGGACCTCGGAGGACCCACCATGAGTAGAAAAAACTGTATTATCAGGAGTAGGAGGAGTAGGAGGAGGAGGAGCAGGAGGAGGAGGAGGACAGCCTAGCTGGGATGATATGATTTCATATTTCGGATGGACGAGTGTGCAGAAAATATATGAAATTAGATTATTCCAGGGGGAAGCGATAAGTCCGGGAGGGGGGGTAGAGTTTATTCTCTTTTTAGAAAGGAAAATTAATCTTGACCGTCTTGAAGCTGTCCTCTCCACTGCTCGTGCAAACATCCCACCCTCCCACCCGCAACTTGGTCGCAAGACCTCTTCAGACAAGACCGTGACGGTAGGTACCACATGGCACTTGGCCACGACGCCGACGCCGACGACGACAGCGACATCGACGACGACGTCTCCAATGTTTTCGACGACGACAACGACGACGACGACACCGACGACGACGACGACAACGACGCCGACGACGACGACGAAGACGACGACGACGTCGCCAACGGAGACGACGACGAGGGAAGAGAAAAAACGACGACGGCGACAACGACGACAACGACGATGGAGGAGGGAAGACGGCGACGACGCCAACGACGAAGAAGGAGGAAGGACGGCGACGCCGACGACGACAACGACGAGGGAGGAGGGCAGACGACGACGACGACAACGACGACGAAGACGACGACGACGAAATACGAGGGACGACGACGAGACGCCGACGACGGACGACAACGACGACGACGGAGGAGAATAACGACGAGGGAGGAGTGAAGACCACGACGATGACGACGACGACGACGACGGCGACGAAATAGGAGGGACAACGACGAGACGGCACGAAGACGACGAGGGAGGAAGGACGACCACGGCGACAACGGCGACGGAAGCGACGACGACGCCAAGACGACGACGACGACGACGAGGAAAGACAGAAGACGACGACGGCGACGACGACGACGACGACGAGGGAGGAGGGAGGACGACGACGACGACGACGCAAGAGTGAGCGCGCACGCTTTTCTTGAAAACCCGTGTTGCGAAACCTTGTGTTTTTGTAGGTTTTTTGGACGCACGATTTTGAAATCCTTCCGAAACCGACGGTTTTTGAAGGATTTCGGCATACGCCCGCGACGACGCGCGCGTCTGCGCGCGTCTGCACTTCGTCTCGTTTTTTGCAGAGGATTCTCGCGACGGCACACGCGCAAGGGCGTCCGACAGATTTCGACATGCGCGCGCGAGAAGCCCGTTTGGTAGCATTTTGTGTAAATCTTGAAAACCATGGTTTTCTTAAGATTTCGCAAGAGCTCGCGCGGAAGCTTTTTTAGCAAATCAGTGTTGCGAAACCCTGTGTTTTGTATGTTTTTTTGGAAACTCGATTGCGAAATCCTTCCGGCACCGAAGGTGTTTGAAGGATTTCGGCATGCGCGCGCGACGACGCGCGCGTGCGCACTTCGTTTCATTTTTTTGCAAGGGATTCGTGAACAAGTGTTATGTTAGAACAAAACATATCACCGCATAGTGTTTTTTACACGGGAACCTCAGGGGTGGAAACTGGCCTGGCTGGGATGGTATGATTTCATATTTAGGATGGACGAGTGTGCAGAAAATATATGAAATTATACTATCCCAAAGGGAAGCGTGAAGTCCAGGGGGGGTAGAGTCTTTGACCATCTTGAAGCTGGCCTCTCCACTGCTCGTGCACAAATCCCACCCTCCCACCCGCAACTTGGTCGCAAGACCTCTTAAGACAAGACCGTGACGGTAGGTACCACATGGCACTTGGCCACGACAACGACGCCGACGACGACAACGACAACGACGACGACGGCGCCGCCGACACCGACGACGACGACACCGATGACGTCTCCAACGACTTCGACGACGACAACGACCACGACGACGACGACGCCGACGGCGACGACGACGCCGACGACGACGACGATGACAACGACGACGACGACGCCGACGCCGACGACGAAGACAACGACGACGACGACGACAACGACGTCGCCAACAAAGACGACGACGAGGGATGAGGGAGGACGACGACGGCGACAACGACGACAACGACGAGGGAGGAGGGAGGACGGCGACGACGCGAACGACGAAGAAGGAGGAAGGACGGCGACGCCGACGACGACAACGACGAGGGAGGAGGGAAGTCGACGACGACGACAACGACGACGACGACGGCGACGAAATAGGAGGACGACGACGAGACGCCGACGACGGACGACGTCGACGACGAGGGAGGAGGAGGAAGGACGACCACGGCGACAACGACGACGGAAACGACCACGACGCCAAAGAGGACGACGACGACGAACACGAGGAAAGACAGAGGACGACGTAGGCGACGACGACGACGACGCGGGAGGAGGGAGGACGGCGACGACGACGACGACGACGACGCAAGAGCGCGCGCGCACGCTTTTGTTGAAAATCCGTGTTGCGAAACCTTGTGTTTTTGTAGGCTTTTTGGATACGCGATTTTGAAATCCTTCCGAGACCGATGGGTTTTGAAGGTTTTCGGCGTACGCGCGCGACGACGCGCGCGTCTGCACTTCGTCTCATTTTCTGCAGAGGATTCTCGCGACGGCACACGCGCAAGGGCGTCCGACAGATTCCGACATGCGCGTGCGAAACCCGTTTAAATACCTAACAGCGAAGACTGATAGGTTTCTAGTGGGGTCAAAAGAGAACATCTCCACTCCCCAGGGGGGACCGGGCAGGATCCGGGGAGCAGCCGATCGGGCGGAACCCGACGAGGGCCGGGCTCGTTGTAAGCAAACAGTTACACACTCTGTGGTCTTCGAATCCCCAGAACTCCATTCCTGGGCCACATTTTGAATGCCCGGACCCAATTGTAAGCCACTTCGTGCTCTTCGAATCCCCAGATCTCTATTCCCGAGCCACATGTTGAATGCCCGGAACCAGCTGTAAGCCACTTCGTGCTCTTCGAGTTCCCAGAACTCCATTCCCAGGCCACATTTTGAATGCCCGGAGCCAACTGTAAGCCACTTCGTGCTCTTCGAGTTCCCAGAACTCCATTCCCGGGCCACATTTGAAAACCTGGAGCCAACTGTAAGCCTTTTCGTGCTCTTCGAGTTCCCAGAACTCCTTTCCTGGGCCACATTTTGAATGCCCGGAGCCAACTGTAAGCCACTTCGTGCTCTTCGAATCCCCAGATCTCCATTCCCGGGCCACATGTTGAATGCCCGGAGCCAACTGTAAGCCACTTCGTGCTCTTCGAGTTCCCAGAACTCCATTCCTGGGCCACATTTTGAATGCCCAGAGCCAACTGTAAGCCACTTCGTGCGAGCTCTTCGAGTTCCCAGAACTCCATTCCCGGGCCACATTTGAACGCCTGGAGCCAATTGTAAGCCACTTCGTGCTCTTCGAGTTCCCAGAACTCCATTCCCGGGCCACATTTTGAATGCCCGGAGCCAACCGTAAGCCACTTCGTGCTCTTCGAGTTCCCAGAACTCCATTCCGGGGCCACATTCTGAATGCTGATGCTGAGGCTGAGAACTGAAGCTGAGGTTGAGGCAGGCTGAGGCTGAGGCTGAGACAGGCTGAGGCTGAAGCGGGCTGAGGCTGAGGCAGGCTGAGGCTGAGGCAGGCTGAGGCTGAGGCTGAGGCTGAAGCTGAAGCTGAGGCTGAGGCAGGCTGAGGCTGAGGCAGGCTGAAGCTGAGGCCGAGGCTGAATGCAGACTGAGGCGGAGGCTGAAGCAGGCTGAGGCTGATGCTGAGGCAGGCTGAGGCTGAGGCTGAGGCAGGCTGATGCTGAGGCAGGCTGAGGCTGAGGCTGAGGCAGGCTGATGCTGAGGCAGAATGAGGCTGAGGCTGAGGCTGAGGCTGAGGCAGGCTGAGGCAGACGCTGAGGCATGCTGATGCTGAGGCAGGCTGAGGCTGAGGCTGAGGCCGATGCAGGCTGAGGCTGAGGCAGGCTGAGGCTGAAGGCAAACTGAACACAAATACATCTACACATGTACATGCACGTACACATATACATATACGTGACTGGTCGCCTGTGCCTTGTGCCTGTGACTGGCTCCCTGTGCGGCTCCCTGCACGACCCCCTTCTACGGCCCCCTGTGCAACCAGTCACAGACACAGGCAACTGCTGCTGCTACTGGTGCCGCTGCTGCTACTATCCTCATCATCGTCATCATCACCCATCATCATCATCATCATCATCATCCCCGTAGCCTTCTTGGCTAGGGCCCTGCTTTCGGAGATTCCGTTTCCAAGGAACTGCGCAGCGCCTACTGAGCACCTTAATGCCAGGACATGCTGGTCGTCCTCAGTCTAGCGGCGGCGCTCCTCAGCCTGCTGCATTGAACAGCGGTGCTCCTCAGCCTGCTGCATTGAACAGCGGTGCTCCTCAGCCTGCTGCATTGAACAGCGGTGCTCCTCAGCGCGCTGCATTGAG